TACTGACAAAAATAAACACAAATATTGTAATCGTTCAAATTCTACTCACAATGAACGGAGGAGGAAACATTCACTTGATAAACAAGTGGGTCTTTGTTCTGTTTTCTTTGTACAGAGCATGTAAAAGTAAGAATGTCGTCCTTGATCAGCTGCTCCACGTACAATGTCCCATTTACAGGAGCATTTCTGATCGTGATACGTTTTTCAAGGCTTCCTAGGGAATTATATGTGGCACAGCTGAGATTTTCGTCGCAATAACCCAGTTTTCGCTCAGAATCAGATTTGTCACGAGGGTCGGCGACTTTCCAGATGAGTTCTCTGTAATCTCCGCTCCGGATGGCTTGCTCAAGAAGAGGACAACACAATTTGACCATTTCTTTTGGGCAAACATTCATGTCTTCAGCACGAGCACCTAAAAACAAAGAAGTCAGGAGAAAGAGAATAATTTGCAAATAAAAGATAACTCGACAGAGGTAACTGTAGTGTAATGTGGTATACAGATGTAATTCTTCGTATAATTAAAGAAAATATACCAGGAGAATACATACATACATACATACATACATGCATACATACATTTTTATTGTGTTTTGAGGTAAAAGTACAATTATAACATGCCCACGGGTAGCTAAGCTATTCTAGGGGGTCATGTTTAAAGGAAATAAATACAACCAAATACAACTAAAAGTAACAAGAGAACTAAAGAAACTAGAATTGTAGAGAACTTGCTTGGAAAGGGAAAAAATGTTTGGGTTGTACTTTAAATAGGAGCTATTTTGTCTTCTGTTAGACTTTATATTCAAACCCGTCATTTCGCTCCAATTCATTCAATTTCCGCTGGCATGCAATTGTCAATTGAAAATTAAGAATTAAGGCTACTTGTACTTCCTGTATTACCTTATATTTTTATAAGCCTTACTAACAGTCTTTGAAAGGTGACATCGTTTTCGTCTTGGTGATGTTATTTCGCGATGTGTAGCAGCACTGAAATTCTACCATTTTAGCACTTTGGAAAAATTAAAACTATTAGGCTGATAGGATGAGGGATGTCTCAGTATGTAGTATACGTAAACACAATACCACTTGGAAAGTACTTGTACCGAATTCACGCCCTCGTTGTTTCTGTCACAACTCGTGCGTAAATACCATACCCGCGCACTTCCCTGGTTGAAGAATGTTATTAATTTATTTTGAGTTTTCAACCAATCTCGGATCAAAAACTGTTTGTTTAATGTTACAACAAGTATTCTTGATACTGTACTTCCCCGCTTTGGAAGTTTTTCACACCGGATTACTTTGTATTCAGTATGGTAGAACTAGATTACTTTGTTTTGCAACGTGCCTGCAGAGTGAAGAGATGTACATGTCCTACTCTTTTTTCAAGCGTTAATCGCCAATTGGCATCTTGTTTTTTCTTTTTTAAAGACTTCCCTAAATTTAGGGTCTTTTAAAAGGGAGGTTTAGTTTTCTTTGGGCTGTGAGCGTTTAGCCTAGTTACTTCGATTTGATGCAGATGTTCGTTGATAACAGTGACTGAGTCGAAATTGTCAAAAAAAAGTCAATAGTAAATAACACCAGAAACTCAACTAATCAAACAATTGCTAAAGAGATATGATGAAATTTAATGAGAGATGTTTATCATCTGAGTTAATGGTTTTATTCTTTTCCTGTCAAATCACTGAATGCCGGATATTCAAAGAGGGGAATTTTGGATTGACCTCTCATTCTGGCGTAATATTTGTTTCAGAATGTTGGTATAACAGCTTTTTTTTTTTAATTCTTGTTTGAACTCAAAGTTTGCCGATTCTATTTATTAAGTTATAGTACGGATGGGATAAAGCGATTGTAATAAAACATTTTTACCATTATCTCTTTTATTTTCACGAAAGAAGGCAATCGCGCTGATCTCCGCAAGACAATAGTGAGTAAAAAAGATTAGACTGCATCTGTATAGTATTTAAATGTCCCGTTTCCTTTCCGTAATTGGTGTTCTCGATCACTGGTAAAGATCGCTTAGTTATCCGGCAGAACGTTTCATAATGCAGTTATTTACACTCTTTTTTTTCTATAAGAATATATTTTATAAGAATATCGAGGCTGAAATTTGCGAAATGTTAAGAATACTTTAAGAATAAACTCCAGGCTGAGATTTTGAAAAGGATATAAATTCGTGTGGTGAAAATCTGTAAATACAATACAAATTATACGTTTTCAATTTATTCCTTTCTTTAAACGGCAAAACTAGCTAACTATATTTAACAAAACTATAATTGATACCTTAATATATTCTAAAACGGAAATGTCATAAGCTATTATTAAGAATAATACAAGAATATTTACAGCCTAAAATCGGCGGAAAAATAAGAATATTCAGCCTGCCCCGGGAAAACAATATTCTTATAAAAAAAAAAGAGTGTAGTAGGGCTCTGTTTTCTACAGCAAGCAGCCGTTTTTAAGCGCGTTTTGATGCGCGATTCCCGGTATACTGGATCTTATTTACCTTGCATTGTTAACTTCTTCAAGTGATCGATGTTTTAGAAGACAAATATAGTTGAATTCCATTTGTGCCACAAAAACAAACGCCTTCTTTGTAAACACGTAGTGCAATCGGATGTACTTACCTCTTAAAGTGACGGTGAGTAGTGTAAGTGCAAACTGAAATGTCTTAGCTGTCGACATATTTTGTGGATATCGGTAAAAAAGACTTTGCTTATCGTAGGACCAACTGTGATACGTCGTACGGACCTAAAATAACTTCCGTGTATCGTCTCACCAACGGTACCGCTTATATAGCTCAGATGATCCAACAGCTACTGAATATTTACATTTGGTGCGACTCCCCTTGCTTTGGCAAGGCAGGGAAAGTCCCTGGCGTGAGAAAACAGCCGATATTTCGCCACGCAACCAGTGATGCCCCAGTCTTTCCGTCATATCATCAGAATGTATACCCGTTGTTTTCGCGAGGAAGCCATCTCTTGTTGATGTGGCAAAATATCAGCTGTTTTCTCAGTCTTTACAGTCGCCTTGAATATTTCTGCCTTGGTTGATCAATAAAAAATGCGCTTATGCAACCGGGTAGCTCGTAAACTTATTAATGCAGAAGCTGGTATTGTCATTGGGAAATTCATTCCTGGACTTTGAACGATTCTTACGGAAAAATGGATACCCCTGGGAATGTACCCCGGGGAACGTACCAACAGCAAAATGAAATGGAAAGTTCATTAAGGGCATTTACTGCAAATCAACGAAAAATATGCTGACAAATCAGTCTTGGTCTACTGACAATATCAAGGAATTCAATTAGCGACTAATTTTTTTCCGGCTACAGTACAAAGCTTTCTTTTCAGTGTTTTACGAGTCACTGATTATTCACTCTTCGTCATTTTCTCCTTTTTGCGTAAGCAATTAACGTGTTAATGGTATTTTCTGTAGTGGTCAATATTGTAATAAATCTTTTAAACGCCTTTAAAAGCCGGATCAGTATGTTCATTTACAAACAGACCGATTTAAGGTAAATAAGTTCATATATCTATAACTGATGAGTTGATATTACGCAACGCCAGATAAAGAAATTGAAGTTATAGGCATTCTCGCAGACTTATTTTGAGGGCAGTCGCCTATTCAATACTAACAGAACGATAACTTTATTACCTCTCCCGGAGGGGCTAACAATTACCTCCCGGACGGTTCACCCAAATATAAATCATATAGGTATGTGTCATCCCAAACGGTAGGGTTTTTGCGCCGTTTTTGTCCTTCAGCTTTAAGAGGATGTCCGCGTAAGAACCGATAAGGCAAATTTCGGTCTATCACAGATTGCCCTGATTTTTCCAGTGGAAGATAACTATCCTATCCCATGAAGAAATATCACATTTATTTAGACCAACTCAATTTTTTCTCTGTATTACAAGAAGATTTTCTCGGTCACGTAAAACTGGCCAGTTTGCCGTTGGAAGTGGTGCGATTTTAAGGAAACTTTAGGGCTCTGTCAAACCTGCCTTACAAAGCCGAATAAGCTGATTATTTTACACACAAATGCTTTAACTCTGATTAATAGTTTCAAGGTTTAATGGTTGCATTCTGTGGAAAGTTGGCTGAGATATGATTTTTTTTAAAATGACCTTAATTTGCTTATCGGGAAAAGTAATTTGCATAACTAGAGCTGAACGGTAATTTCGCAAAAGTGGCACCTGACCCAGACTCAAGTCTATGATAAAACAGAAGTAATGAGACCAGTCTACTTCTTAATGCAATAAAATTTGTGGGCACTCCTCTTTGCGTGCTGTACAAAGTTCCGTTAATGTTCCAAAATTCGCCATTTTGACAGCAAAGCTGGAATTGTAACGGTCTGCATCTGGTCGACTAATTTCCACAGCTTTAACGTTTCTAGCTATCACTAACTGTCATTAGACCCTTTAAATGTTGGACTTTCGAAAACATGTGAAGAAAACTTGGTAATCGCTTTTTCTTATTTTTTTTCCTTGTCGACGATGAACATTACTTCATTCTCCGTATGCAAATTAGCCTTAGATGCGTCGTTTCAACAAATTGACAGGAAATATAATACTTGTATTTCATATTTTTAAGGGAAAAATATCTCTTCTTTCCACGGAAAAACACGAACGATATATGACTTAGAATCCCCTTAGGTCTGTTTCTCTTACGAGGAAGAAGCAGCAGAAGAAGATATGTTTACGCGAATTAAAATAATTTAATTACTGTGGCTCGTCACGCATTCCCCCAGAGTGACCTTGTATCAATCAGTTCTTTTATCTTATTATATCTTTTTTGAGGTGATAGTTATTGATAATCCTACAATTTAATCATTGTTAATTCCGATTCTTTATTGGGTGGGAAATACCGTGCTGTTGTATTTATTCATTCTACGAGCGTTTTAACTGAGTCAGTATCACCGGGCGCCACTAGGATAGGGTTTAATATGACGGCCCATGGTGTAATACACGAAATTTAGCTAAAAAGTATTCACTTGGAAAAAAGAAAAAGGCATAGTTTTTTGTTTACTGTCCGTCTCCTGTTAAATCCCAAAAGTTTTTGCCGGCTGTTAATCACACTAAATTAAGGATCCCTGTGTTGTCTATGTTTACTACTGACCTGATGGAGAAAAGCAGTGACTCAGTGTATACGTATGAAAGACGAAAGTTTGTAAATTAGGTCTCCTTTTCTTTCCCTGGATTTGAATGGTATTTCAAAGTGACACAAATTATTTTTTTTAGCATTACCCAGGGCTGTAGCTAGGTTTTTTGTAACGAGGGGCATTATCGCGAGAGCCAAAGGCACGAGCCTTGTAGGAGGGTATGGGAGTGTCCTCCCCCAGACTCCCAAGGAGGAGGAGGAAATGAAAGGCTCCGAAATGCTATTTTCAGCACTTGTCATGAGATATGTCTCCGAAAAATAGACCTCGAAGATGAAAATGGCAAAC